CCCGGAACTCTTCTCCTCGCCCGGAACTCTTCTCCTCGCCCGGTCTACTCCTAGAGACTCCCTGGACTGCCCAATTACAGAAATTCAAGACTCCCCGAATTGCCCAGCCAGAGACTCCTGGAGTGCCCAACCCCAGGGTCTCCCTGGAGTGCCCAGAGTTTCCCGAAATCCCCAGCCCCAGAGTTTTTTCAGAGTCTCCCTGGAGTGCCCAACCCCAGAGTCTTTTAGAGTGCACAGTTTTCCCCAGAGTCTCCCTGGAGTGCCCAACCCCAGAGACTCCCTGCAATGCCCAGAGAGTCTGGAGTGGAGTAGAGTCTTCCTGGAGTGCCCAGTTTAGAGACTCCCTGGAATGCCCAACCCAGAGACTCCCTCGCTGGAGTGCCCAAGCCCAATCCAAATCCCTAAGGTGGGGATGTTCGAAGTAAAATACTTTAAAATTTGAAAGGGGTCCCGGGGTCTCAGGGTGTTGGGGGTAGGCGCTGAGGCGCTTAGGAGGAGCTTGGGAGCTTATAGTTAGGGGTTTAGGTTTCTGGGTTTCGGAGCCTAGGAGCTTAGGGTTTATAGGGTTTGATTTAAGGTTTATGGGTTTGGGGGGTAGGCGCTTAGGCGCTGAGGAGCTTAGGAGCTTAGGAGGGTTTAAGGATTTAGGGGTAGGCGCTTAGGCGCTTAGGACCTCAGGAGCTTAGGGTTTAGGGTTTAAGGGTTTAGGGGGTAGGCGCTGAGGAGCTTAGGGAGCTTTGGAGCTCAGGGTTTATGGATCTAGGGGGCTTAGGAGCTTAGGGTTTAGGGTTTAAGGTTTAAGGGTTTAGGGGGTAGGCGCTTAGGCGCTAAGGAGCCTAGGAGCTTAGGAGCTTAGGGTTTAGGGTTTAAGGATTAAGGGGCAGGCGCTGGGCCTCCCCGCCTTTTTAACTTTGAAAAAACCTTAAAACCCTCAAAATCTAGAAGGCCCGGGCTTTCAAGATTTTTAAGGGTTTTAAGGAAATGATAAAATTTAAAAGAAGGTCCCTGGGTCCCGGCTCCTAAGCTCTTAAGCTCCTGAGCGCCTAAGCGCCTACCCCCTAAACCCTTATAGACCTTAAACCCTAAAACCTAGGCTCCTAAGCTCCTAAGCGCCTAGGCGCGTAAGCGCCTACCCCCTAATCCCTTAAACCCTAACCCTAAACCATCAACTCCTAAGCTCTTAAGCTCCTGAGCGCCTAAGCGCCTAAACCCTAAGCTCCTAAGCTCCTAAGCGCCTAAGCGCCTAAGCGCCTACGCCCTAAACCCTGAGACCCTGGGACCCCTTTTTATCTTGAAAACACTTGCCTTCTTCTCTGCTGAAGTTTTGCTGGAGTTTAAGGACTCTACGCCTTTCGGGATTTTACGGCTTTTAGTATTTGAATGGATCTTTCGCTTTTGAGGTTTTGGGCACGCTAGGGTTTACCAATAACCTTTGCTAGGGTTTCAAAAACTTTCGCTTCAAAGTTAAGGGCGCGCCAGTGTTTACAGAACATGCGATCAGAAAAGCGCGGCTCGATTTGGGCAAATTTTGCCGGGCAGCTTTCGGGCAAAATTTGGCCAAATCGGGCTCTTTGTGTGCGATCAGAAGGCGCGGCTCGATTTGGCCAAATTTTGCCGGGCAGCTTTCGGGCAAAATTTGGCCAAATCGGGCTGCTCCTTGTATGCGATCAGAAAGGCGCGGCTCGATTTGGCCAAATTTTGCCGGGCAGCTTTCGGGCAAAATTTGGCCAAATCGGGCTGCTCCTTGCATGCGATCAGAAAGGCGCGGCTCGATTTGGCCAAATTTTGCCGGGCAGCTTTCGGGCAAAATTTGGCCAAATCGGGCTGCTCCTTGTATGCGATCAGAAAGGCGCGGCTCGATTTGGCCAAATTTTGCCGGGCAGCTTTCGGGCAAAATTTGGCCAAATCGGGCTGCTCCTTGCATGCAATCAGAAAGGCGCGGCTCGATTTGGCCAAAATTTGCCGGGCAGCTTTCGGGCAAAATTTGGCCAAATCGGGCTGCTCTTCCTATGTGATGATATTTAAACTTTTAAACGTTTAAAACTTATAAAACGCCTTAGACCACCAAAGCTTCTAAAACTTGAAAAAATTTTAAACCCTTAAAAATGTTAAAACTTTTAAACCTTTAAAGGGTGTTTTAAAGTATTTAAAATTTTGAAATTCCTTAAACTCCTTAAATTCCTTAAATTCCTAACTTAGCCCTAATTTAGGAATTCAAGGAATTTAAAGAATTTAGGCCTCTTTAAATTCTTTAAATTCCTTAAATTCCTAAATTAAATTAAATTAGTTCTGGGCCCTAATTTAAATTTTTTTTACATTCCTTAAGTTCCTAAATTAGCCCTAATTTAGGAATTTAAGGAATTTAAAGAATTTAGGCCTCTTTGAATTCTTTAAATTCCTTAAATTCCTAAATTAAATTAAATTAGTTCTGGGCCCTAATTTAAAATTTTTTAAATTCCTTAAATTCCTTAAATTCCTTAAATTCCTTAAATTCCTTAATTAGGGCTAATTTAGGAATTTAAGGAATTTAAAGAATTTAGGCCTCTTTAAATTCTTTAAATTCCTTAAATTCCTAAATTAAATTAAATTGGTTCTGGGCCCTAATTTAAAATTTTTTAAATTCCTTAAATTCCTTAAATTCCTTAAATTCCTAAATTAGGGTTAATTTAGGAATTTAAGGAATTTAAACAATTTAGGCCTCTTCAAATTCTTTAAATTCCTTAAATTCCTAAATTAAATTAAATTGGTTCTGGGCCCTAATTTAAAATTTTTTAAATTCCTTAAATTCCTTAAATTCCTTAAATTCCTAAATTAGGGCTAATTTAGGAATTTAAGGAATTTAAAGAATTTAGGCCTCTTTAAATTCTTTAAATTCCTTAAATTCCTAAATTAAATTAAATTGGTTCTGGGCCTTAATTTAAAATTATATAAATTCCTTAAATTCCTTAAATTCCTTAAATTCCTTAATTAGGGCTAATTTAGGAATTTAAGGAATTTAAAGAATTTAGGCCTCTTTACATTCTTTAAATTCCTTAAATTCCTAAATTAAATTAAATTGGTTCTGGGCCCTAATTGAAAATTTTTTAAATTCCTTAAATTCCTTAAATTCCTGAAATTCCTAAATTAGGGCTAATTTAGGAATTTAAGGAATTTAAAGAATTTAAAGAGGCCTAAATTCTTTAAATTCCTTAAATTCCTAAATTAGCCCTAATTTAGGAATTTAAGGAATTTAAGGAATTTAAGGAATTTAAAAAATCTTAAATTAGGGCCCAGAACCAATTTAATTTAATTTAGGAATTTAAGGAAGGAATTTAAGGAATTTAAAGAATTTAGGCCTCTTTAAATTCTTTAAATTCCTGAAATTCCTAAATTAGCCCTAATTTAGGAATTTAAGGAATTTAAGGAATTTAAGGAATTTATACAATTTTAAATTACGGCCCAGAACCAATTTAATTTAATTTAGGAATTTAAGGAATTTAAAGAATTTCGGCCTCTTTAAATTCTTTAAATTCCTTAAATTCCTAAATTAGGGTTAATTTAGGAATTTAAGGAATTTAAAGAATTTAGGCCTCTTTAAATTCTTTAAATTCCTTAAATTCCTAAATTAAATTAAATTGGTTCTGGGCCGTAATTTAAAATTTTTTAAATTCCTTAAATTCCTTAAATTCCTTAAATTCCTAAATTAGGGCTAATTTAGGAATTTAAGGAATTTAAAGAATTTAGGCCTCTTTAAATTCTTTAAATTCCTTAAATTCCTAAATTAGCCCTAATTTAGGAATTTAAGGAATTTAAGGAATTTAAGGAATTTATAAAATTTTAAATTACGGCCCAGAACCAATTTAATTTAATTTAGGAATTTAAGGAATTTAAAGAATTTCGGCCTCTGTAAATTCTTTAAATTCCTTAAATTCCTAAATTAGGGTTAATTTAGGAATTTAAGGAATTTAAAGAATTTAGGCCTCTTTAAATTCTTTAAATTCCTCTTAAATTCCTAAATTAAATTAAATTGGTTCTGGGCCCTAATTTAAAATTTTTTAAATTCCTTAAATTCCTTAAATTCCTTAAATTCCTTAAATTCCTAAATTAGGGCAAATTTAGGAATTTAAGGAATTTAAAGAATTTAGGCCTCTTTAAATTCTTTAAATTCCATAAATTCCTAAATTAGCCCTAATTTAGGAATTTAAGGAATTTAAGGAATTTAAGGAATTTATAAAATTTTAAAATTACGGCCCAGAACCAATTTAATTTAATTTTGGAATTTAAGGAATTTAAAGAATTTCGGCCTCTTTAAATTCTTTAACTTCCTTAAATTCCTAAATTAGGGTTAATTTAGGAATTTAAGGAATTTAAAGAATTTAAAGAGGCCTAAATTCTTTAAATTCCTTAAATTCCTAAATTAGCCCTAATTTAGGAACTTAAGGAATTTAAGGAATTTAAGGAATTTAAAAAATTTTAAATTAGGGCCCAGAACCAATTTAATTTAATTTAGGAATTTAAGGAATTTAAAGAATTTCGGCCTCTTTAAATTCTTTAAATTCCTTAAATTCCTAAATTAGCCCTAATTTAGGAATTTAAGGAATTTTAAGAATTTCGGCCTCTTTAAATTCTTTAAATTCCTTAAATTCCTAAATTAGGGCTAATTTAGGAATTTAAGGAATTTAACGCATTTAGGCCTCTTTAAATTCTTTAAATTCCTTAAATTCCTAAAATTCCTAAATTAGCCCTAATTTAGGAATTTAAGGATTTAAAAAAAATTAAATTAAGGCCCGGCCTCCTTAAATTCTTTAAATTCCTTAAATTCCTAAGTTCTGCCTGAAGAAGCCAAGCCACACGCCAAATAGTACATAAAGGTCCTTCGTACTTAGGGTTTAAGGGTTTCAGGGTTTAGGGTTTGGGTTTAGGGTTTTGGGTTTAGGGTTTGGCGTTTAGGGTTTAGGGGTCAGGGGAGTCGAAACCCGGACTTCAGACATCGGTTTAGGGGCAGGGCAGTGGGGTGAAGGTCAGTTGGGGTCTCTACTGACAGGGAAGAATCCTACCTCTTTGGACCCTTTCAAAAGCCTATGCAAGCCCAGGCCCTGAACCCATAAATTCCTCAACCCGCGCAAATCTACACCTTCCAAATCCTGACACACGAAACCCATGGTTCCCCACACCCCATTCGTCACTGCTCCATGGTCTGCAGAGGAGACGAGGCACCATGGAGAACATCTCCCGGCCCACCGGCCCAACACCGAGGGGCTCGAGCTGGAACCAGGAGTTCTCCACCTTCTCAGTTCAACTTCGGGACCGCGTTTTTGCACAGCACTTCTCAGGGCTTTCTTGTCTCTTTTGAAGATGTTCTGATGGATTAACTTCATGTCGGTTTCTAATCGGTCCAGGAAGCTGCTGCACAAAAACTAGTGCCACCCTAAACCCGCTTTTCTGAGAAGAAAAAAAAAAAACGCTTGGATTGGCCTTTTCCGGACGCATACATTTTGGTCCTGACATCTGGGCTTCTGTCCTGTCTCGTTTGCTTGGCCCATGAGCCCGTGGTGACTCTCAACCCTCCAGGGCCCTAAAGAGGTGCGGGGGGGGGCAGGAGACTCGGCTCTCAGCTTTAACACAGCGCAACCTGGAGGGAGCATGCTACACCTGAAAGCCCTCAGCAGCCCCACGACGGTTCAGCTGTAGGCGATTGACGTACGGCTCCCGACTCGGGCCCGTTGCCCACACGCCCTTGACCCACAGCCCCTGAGGCAAAAGAAGGCCTGCTCCGTTGTCGTGAAAGTGGATGTTGTCGTTGAAAAGGTGGTAGAGGTGGTGGTTGTGGAGGTGGTCGTGTTCTGGCAAAAAGGCGTGCTCTCTCAAAGGCGCGCTCTCAAAGGCGCGCTCTCAAAGGCGTGCTCTCAAAGGCGTGCTCTCAAGGGCTCCGGGCTTAGAGTCTGGCTGAAGGCTCCCCGGGCTTCCTGCTGCAGGCATTTCAGGCCAAGCTGCCCCGGGCACGAAAACCCAGAAGTCAGTTTCATACCTTGGGAGCCGGAGTGATATGGACCATACTCCCCTTAGAACCTTGATTTAAAAAATGATAATCTTTAATACCCTCTTGGGTTTTATATAAGCAAACATGAAAAATAATTCCCAAAGGGGGCTATAGTGGAGGGACTAAGCATTGGGACTTAAATGTCTCATGCGTACGTCGACTACACGAAGTCTGACAAAGCAGACGAAGTATGGCCTTCCTCTGCTTAGGGATCGCATCGGAAAGCTTTGGACCTTCACATTGCGAGCCGGAGCACGCCCCTCCCCCGAAGAACAGCTGCGCGTCCCACTGTGGAACGTACACGGCCCGGACGCCGGCCTGCGGCCAAGGGGTTCGTTCAAACAACCAAAGCTTCAGCCGGAAAATTTTCGGGTTGAGCTGTGAACTTCGGGCTGACTACACTGATTCCTCTGACTACACCCTCACCTCACACAAATTCACGATTAGCTCCTCGTCGGGAGCTTTCAGCTACTTTGCCTCGTGTTCCTACAAGGGCACCCACCACATCAAAGAGAGCCCCGACCCAGGGCGGTCCCGTGGGTACGGGGACTGCGACGTGACGTCTCGCCGCTCCCAGACGCCCTCCTGGCAGGAGATTTTTAGGACTCCGTGGGGCGTCCTTGCGGTGTTTACATGGCTTTGGGCCCGGGCTCCCAGAGGCGGGAGGTTCTCACTGCTCGCGCGCTCGTAAAAAAGAGTGCCGATAGACCCCTGCAGCGCCCACCATCCTACCCATGCCTTATTTGCTTTAAAACCCCCAAGTACCCTGAACAAGATTCACTTGGCAACAAGCATGTGAGCACAAACAACAAGGCGCTTCTCAGGCGGAAAGGCTTCCTCCAACAAGCCTGTGCATCCTCCAAGCTCACTTACGCCGCCGGTCCAAGGTTTTGGGTTTAGGGCCTTAGGGGCGTCGCATGCAAGACAAATGCAAGCGTTTACAATGAATTTACAGTAGGTCGAGCAGGCGGAAAGACGTTTCTCGAATAAATGTCGTCGCCGTCCCAATTCCGCTTGGAGCACTTTCTTTTCCTGCAGCGCCTTTGCCGGAACAGTTCCCGGCGCGACGCACCTGTGTAGGGCACTCATCCGGAAATTTCGACCCACTCCATAAGTGCTCAGGCCAGAGCTTCTCAAGAACTCCCCTCCAAAGCGTCAAAGACACAACGAATCTGATCTTGAACCCTACTGAAAACCCATGAGAGCTCTCAACAACGCGGTTCTGACTTCGAGAGGCCGCAAGGTCCCCCCAAGCCAGTCTCGTGACGAACCGAACACATGTAAATCTCGTAAATGCTCGTAATGATTTGTTCCGACGCACGAGGCATCCGAAAATTCACATGGGGGTTGTGGGGTTGGGAGTCCTTGGGGGCATCAGTCCTTGTAGTTGTAGGACTGGACGGTGCTTCCGTCATTCACGGCCATGAAGCCCCCGTAGGCCGAGGGAGCCCCCAGCCCGCCCCAGACGATCATGCAGTCCTGGCGCTCAACACGATTGCCGAAAGCCTACACTCCCAAAGCACATCCAAATCACGTGAGCCCAGAACCATAGCCCCACCCAAAAGCTCGAAGCCCCAATCTCCGATCGGTGCTGGTTTTTGCTTTTCTTTTTGTTTGTTGCGGGGGGGGGGGGGGTGGGAGATGCCGGTTCCTAGTCTTTCAGCGCAAGGGTTTCTGGAGTTCGGGGTTCAGGGCTTTAGGCGCCCTGTTCTTGCCCACACCAAGTCCTTTCGGGCTGAGGGGCGTTCTGAGGATGCTCGCTGTGTAGGTGAAACTCCCGGCCCGACTCTGGGCTTCCTCCACCCATGCCGACCTCCCAAGAGGCCGCCGAAACCAGGTGCTTTTCTGCATGGTACAGAGGTGCGAGAAAACTGTGGACATGGTTGTCAGTCGTTCCTATAGACTCTCCCAAGGCCTCGGTTCTTGAAACCGCTCCAAGATGCCCGAGCGCCTGTTCCCTTCGGGCTAGAATCGCGGTAGAAGACTGCGCCGGCCACGCTACACGCCGACACTCTTTAGAACAGCTTGGCTCAACCCTAAACCCTAAACCCTAAACCCTAAACCCTAAACCTAAACCTAAACCCTAAACCCTAAACCCTAAACCCAACGGGAAGGGTTTGGGGGGGGTTTAGGGGGCCATTTGTGGGCTTCAAGGATGGTTCAGGCCAAGCTGCGAAGGAAGGCGCCCATGCTGCACCGTGACCTGGTTCGCTACGCTTTGGAGATGTAGGCACGGGTTTAGGGTTTAGGGTTCAGGGTTCAGGGTTCAGGGTTCAGGGTTCAGGGTTCAGGGTTTAGGGTTTAGGGTTTAGGGTTTAGTGTTTCAGTGCCTACAGTGCCTACAGTGCCTACAGTGCCTACAGTGCCTACAGTGCCTACAGTGCCTACAGTGCCTACAGTGCCTACAGTGCCTACAGTGCCTACAGTGCCTACAGTGCCTACAGTCCTCGCATTGAACTTTGGATTGGCCTTGTCTTGGGAGAGCGAGTACAGTATCATTCAGCGGCCTGGGACGATCTCAAGCCGACCATCTAGGTATGCCCCTGAACACGTGACTTGACTCCGGCGTATTGAAGGATCAATCCAGCTTCGCTGCAGGCAAAGACCCCCGAACACATGCAGACCCGCCCGCCTGACCATTGACAGTTGACAGTTGGACGGGGACTCACAAAGCCACAAGGAAGCAGCCCAACAAACCAATGCCGCTCGCCGTACCGGAACGACGCACGCTCTTCAGGCCCATGCCAAAACAAAAGGAGGCGGCTCGCCACCAGGTGCGCGAGCAGCCAGCGGCCCTGGGCGAGAGCCGCTTCGTGCCGCCTGGCCTTCGCCCCACCGCCAAATTTCCGGACACCGAAACCCCAAAGCTTAGCCCCCAATAGCGCTGTGAAGCCGAGCTTCTTGTTCGTGCCGTGCCCGGGTCCTCGAGCAGCGTGTAGTCGCGGCGCTGGCAAGAGGAATGGGTTTGGGTGTGTGGCGGGCAGCGGCCTGTCAGGTTGGGCGTATGGGGGCGCGTGTGGAAGGGAGGCATGACACCAGGGCTCAGGGGAGACTGGAAGAACCATGCACATCGCTACACAAAGGCCCGACGGGTAGGCGGGGCATCCGAAAAGAAATACGGTGGCGGCAGCACGGTGATGTTGAAGCACCCCAGTTCGGACAAGATCCTCGGGCTTCTGGGCTTCGCGGGTTTGTGGCTCGGGGACTTTCTCGTGTAGGGCTCTTGGGTTTGAGAGTGTCGCTGGGCTTGTGAAGGTGTGGGCTTAGAATAAGAGCTCGGTTGGGACCCGTCGTGCACCCTGTCCTCAGACAGGAAAGCCAAGTTCTTCAGCAGAAACCCTAAACCCTAAACCCTAAACCCTAAACCCACTGCCGGGTTTAGGGCACAGGCAGGGGGAGCTTTGAGGTCTCAGCGGCTTAACCACGTTTGCCCTGCACCTTGCCTTGGCCATCGACTTCAAAGCCCTGCCCCTGTTTCCGGGATACGGGATAGTCAGTACTACAGACGATCCTCCGGGGGTATGAGCTTTCGGACTTCAAGGCCCTCAAATCCAGGCTGCAAAATGATGCCATCAATCAATGTCCATCCACTCCCGAAGCCTGACTTCTCTCAAAGGCGCCCGTAGCTGGCGTTGTAGCCACCGAAGATGTAGATGCAGTCCTGGACCCTGAGCAGGGCGGCTGAACTGTTGATTCATGGGGTCAGAGGGTTCGCAAGGACCTCCTCCCTGTGTTACTGACGACAGCGACGACGACTGCCACAGCAACAGCAACAGCGGCGCAACAACAGCCGCAGGAAACACCCGTTTCGGGGGCAGGTTCGCTCTATCGAACCGAGCCTCGTGTAAAGAGCTGTTGAAGGGAGGATGTTTTGGGGTCACCGTGGGGCTGCCGACTCCTGGAAAAGGAAACCCCGAACCCCTCCCTCCCCAAAATCAAGAAAAGAAGAAAAAAAAAAAAAACGAACAAAGAAACACCCAAGACGTCTCCCCACATTCCGATGCACCGTTGGGGGTTTGGGGCTCAGGGCTCTTTTGGATCATTTGGGGGAGCCTGAGCTTCCTGAAGTCCCCTTCAAGACCCAAGACCTAGAACTTTGGGCGTAAACTCACTGCCCACCGCCGCTTGCGCTCTAAAGCTCCAAAACCCCCCAACCCCCCCAAACCCTCCCCCCACCAAAGCCCGAATCGTCCCAGGAGCAAGACGGCTGTGTGGAAGTAGCGGGGCTCAAGCGGAACGTCGCCGGTCGGAGTGATTTCGGTCCAGGCGTTGGTCTGTCATGGTCCGTCAGAACTCTGAGCCCTCAACTCCTCAGCAACCGCAACACCTCGAAAAGCCTCCAAATTACCTACTGAACATGACTGACTTCGAACCTGCCCAACCGAAGGCTCATCGAGTTCTTATGGCGCAGTAATATAGGGGCCTGAAAGAGTTACAATAGGGTTTGGGGGGGGGGGGGGGGGGCTCTTGTAGTATAATTATGAAGGGACCAGAACCCTAAACCCTAAACCCTAAACCCAGAAGGGAATACTAGAAGTAATTCTTCCGACCCCTCTGTTAGCGATCTCCTGGAATTTTGGGGCACCTCCAGGACTTTCCGCGACAATCTGGGGTTTAGGGTTTAGGGTTTAGGGTTTGGGGTTTAGGGTTTAGGGTTTAGGGTGTAAGGGCTTTATGGTTTAGGGTTTAGGGTTTAGGGGATTTAGGGGGTTTAGGGGGTTTAGGGGGTTTAGGGGGTTTAGGGGGTTTGAGGGGGTTTAGGGGGTTTAGGGGGTTTAGGGGGTTTGAGGGGGTTTCGGGGGTTTATAGGGTTTAGGGTGGGCGCTTGCGAGGTGGGCGCTCCCGAGGGATTTTGTGCAGGACCCAGGCAACCCCCACCACACCGAGGGGGGACAAGCAAAGTCAGGCACTGCATGGAGGCTTTGAAACTTCAGGGCTTAGGGTTTAGGGTTTAGGGTTTAGGGTTTAGGGTTTAGAGTTTAGGGTTTGGGGGTTCAGGTCCGAGGGTTTGCACTGCGCATGTGCGAGGTTGGTTTCCTTGCTGTACCACCTCCTTCACTGCTCAACTTCAAAGTTTAAATACCAAAGAAGACATGGGATGACAGGGCCCCTTTTGGCTGAGGGTTCTCAGGAAGCCCGAATCAAAAAGAGAAAGGTTTGAGGAGCGTTCCCAAAAAAAAAAAAGTCGCTCCCTCCCCACTTGCCCCCTGCCCTTGCCTGGACATTGTAGCATTGCCAGTCGTTGGCCAAGACCACCTCCGTACCTCGGACAACTCTGAGGGGAGCTCCGACACTTTCGAAGAGGGCACCGAAACTCTGGTCCGGGCCTGGGCCTGTGTAGTTTCCACGGCTCAGATAGCCAGCGAAGACGTACATGCAGTTGTCGTTGGCCATGACCTCGTTTCGGGAGGCTCTGGGATTCCACTGGCTTTCTGAAACAGGAGAAGGGGGCTTGAAGGTTTGGGTTGGCCACACGACCTGAAGCAAGCTCTGACCCAGGAGGCGCAGGGGCCCCCCCCTTCCTAAACGAAAGAGCTTGCGCCCCGAAAGAGGGGAATCTTTGGGCATCCTCGGGCATCCATAGCCATGGCCGCGCCACCGCTGTGTGCCCCAACCGCGCAGCTGGAGAATTGGCGGCGCCCGTGTCTTGCCACGTGTCGGCCTGGACCGGGAGCAGCAACTCAAAAATGCAGGGCACACATCTATGCCAAGGCAGAAAACCAAAAAAAAGTCTCTCGCGAACCCTGAAAACGAAGCCAGGAGGTCGCATTGACTGGAGGCGAGCAGCCGTCATGTTGTAGCACCACAGCGTCTGCGAGAGATTCTCCTCCGCTACCTCAGGCTGAGGGAGATGAGGCGAGCCCTGCTGTCACACGCTTGAAACGGTCGCGAGCAAGAGAATGCTGTCCGGGCGTGAGGGGGGGGGGCCATCGGGCCATGATGTCAGGGCGCTAGGTGTGCATGGCCTTGATGGACTCTGCACATGCTGCGAACTGCCCTCTGCCTCCTTAGTGCAGCAGTGGCACCTGCCCGCCGTACACCAGCATACAGTGGCCATCTGGGCTGAGGACTGCACTGTGACCAGAACCTGGGTGTGTGGTGTGTTCGGCTTTCTGTGGTCTGGGCTTGGGATTTTGTGGCCACGTCCGCTCGACCCTGCAGCTTCGCCATTACTGGCCTGCGCTGGTAGAATCTCCTCAATTCCTCAATAGGTTGCAGTCAGGAAGACAGAGCCATGAAGCCAAAACTAGCTACTCAGCGAACGCTTCAGGAAAGCCCACAACTACAAGCAGGTTCGGCGCCAGGAGCAGGCCCTGTACGATTTTCAGCCCGGGGAATAATCAAGTCGGGAGGTGGCGCAAGAAACAATGCCCAAATTGCCAGGGTTTAGGGTTTAGGGTTTAGGGTTTGGGGTTTGGGGTTTGGGGTTTAGGGTTTAGGGTTTAGGGTTTAGGGTTTAGGGTTTAGGGTTTAGGGTTTAGGGTTTAGGGTTTAGGGTTTAGGGTTTAGGGTTCAGGGTTCAGGGTTCAGGGTTTAGGGTGCCCCAAATAGAATCGAATCCCCTGCAGGGACCCCCACAAAAAAAAGGGTACCCCGATTTTCGGGAAAAAACAACCAACCGGCTTTTTGGCAAGGCAACTCGGCATGGGGCGACTTGTCTTCGTCGACCAGAAGTTTCCCTGCGATGTGGAGCTGAGATGTACTGGGGTTCTGGAGTTTAGAGGACTTAGGGTTTAGGGTTTAGGGCTTAGGGTTTACGGTTTAGGTTTTAGGGTTGAGTAGCGAAAGCGGCGAGATGCAGCGAGGCTAGCGGGGAGGAGTGGGGCCAGCTGGGGGTTGGGATGAAAAGAACCCCCGCAGGTGTGTTTCGCTCCAATGACAGCGTTCTTTTTGCTTTCTTGATGTTTCTTGCCGATTCTTGTGGGACCACATCCTGGGCGCAACATCGTCGGTCTGGGTCATTACCAGCTTCTCAGATGTTCGCCACGAGTTTCAGCAAGCTTTCAAGCTTTCTGTGGCTTATGGGTTCACGTGGGGCGTCTTCCCAACGTTGCATGGCCCACTGCCATGTCGCCGGACACCGTTTCAGGGGTTCGTGCCACAGGTCAACGCGCCCATGCTCCTTTGACTCGCTGTGTTCGAAGGTGTCATTACACTGCCAAGTAGCATGACACACATTGGGTGCCATGTGCCATCACCAAACCCCCGACACACACGGATGCTATGATGGGAAGGACACATCACATGGAAATCCGTGGCCAGAAGATGAATGTCACCATCGAGCGTCGGTATCTTAGAGGTTTCATGCTCAAGGTTCTGTAAGGCTTAGGGGGGGGGGGGGGGCCGGAACGGGTGCTCAAACAAAGAGAACATTGGTGCAGGCCGTGACCATGTCGACACGTCACAATCATTCGACCACGCCTGTGTCGAGTACATCCAGAGGTCATCGTAATACGTCGTGTTTTGGGTTCCTGCATCAAGTCAGGGCAAGCTTGGGACTGTCTACTTGGACGTGGTTGTTCTATGCTAGGGTTCGCGAGCTCCAGCGGGTGGAGAAAACGACAAACTACCATAATCAGCCCCTGAACGCTCCTCCAGCCTCTCCTGGCTAGACCTGTCCTACTCGCCGCCCAAGCGGTTCCACAGAATTACACAGCTGAAGCGTACATGCTGCAGGCCCACGCACCAACCGAAACGGCAGCGAAGAAGCGCCTGTAACTGGATCCCAAACAAAGACGGACCCGCCGAAGACCAGCACCACGCCGTCGGATTCGCGGAGCACCTCTCAGAAAAGAAACTCAAGGGAGGCCAGACAGCAGCTCCCAGGGCTCTCCGGGTGCCACGGGTCTAGGGTTGAGGGTTTAGGGTTCAGGGTTCAGGGTTCAGGGTTCAGGGTTCAGGGTCAGGGTTTGGTTCTCCGGCTGCAGAGCTGCCGCAGAGGATGGGCAAAGTGCTGTAAGGGGTGCCCCCAGGCGAGTTTGCAGGTGAAGATGTCAGGGAGATCATGGCAGGCTCCTCTGAGAGTGCAGGGGAGGCTACGTTCCTTATTCGAGACCCTGCACCCCCCCACACAAAACCAAAACAACAGATTTGCAAAGGAACGGCTGTTTTGTGGTCCCTGCCCGGGGGTTCCCTCAACCCTCAACCCACTCCTAGGTTTGCCTCCTAGTTGAGCTCCCGGAGCCCTGAACTGGCGGTCTCATTCGATCCTCCTGAACGGCTCCTCCTAAGGAACCTAAGCCCTAACCTCAGGCAATCCAAACCATCTCCATTCTCAAAGCCGAAACCGCTCTCTCCCAGTTGCGAAGAATGTAGGATCCCCCTTCTTAGTTTTCTTCTCGGAGGGGGTGGCTGGGAGGTTACACTGACCTTGAACCTAGGGACTTTTTGTTTTAGGGGTTCAGGGCAAGGGTTTCCGGAGGTCCTAAACCCTAAACCCTAAACCATAAACCCAAAACCCTAAACCCTAAAAAGAGTTTCCGGAGGTCCATAAAACGTGGAGGACAAGGTGCAATGGAGAACATCTCCCGGCCCACCGGGCCGCGTCCGATGGGCTCGAGATGGAACCATGTGTTCTCCACCTTCGCTTTAGGGTTTGGGGTTTGCGGTTTCGGGTTCAGGGTCTGGGTCTAGGGTCTAGGGTTTAGGTTTCAGGGTTTAGGGTTTAGGGTTTAGGGTTTAGGGTTTAGGGTTTAGGGTTTAGGGTTTAGGGTTTAGGATTTAGGGTTTAAGGGTTTAGGGTTAGAGGGCTTGCGGGGTTTAGGGGGGCGTAGGTTTAGCGTTCCGCTGAGCTCTACTTTTACTTCACCTTTGGGCTCAGGGACCCCCATTGCAGAGCACCCTGTGGCTGGAATTAGGGCCCTATACATGCCCTTTAAGGTGTGTGTGTGTATATATATATTTTTTATGTATATGTATATATATATATATATTATGTATGTGTATATATATATATATACGTAGAGGGCCCGAATTCCAGGGAACACAGACCCATGCCAACCTGCTGGGTGGTTGTAAACGTGGCGGTTGTGGTCGTCGACGTCGACGTCACAACCTGCAGTTTGGGGGGCGCGGGACTTCTAAGCGTCGGCTTCGGACCCTTGAAGATGTTTCCCCCTGCATACTACAAAGTCCTTTGTAGGGATCAGAGTGACCCCTAAGATAACCCCTCTTAGAGGCTGCTAGTGTAAGGGGGCAATCATCCCCAACATCCGGTGGACTTCAAGAGGAAGCCTCATGCTCTAAAGAGGTGGACCCTTTAAAGTGTCTTCATTCTGGCAATCCGAACATCCGCTCCCCGCCATGCTTTCGAAGCTACTGGACCTGCTGCTTTAGCTGCTGGGTGACGGACATGCGCTTCTCGACACGTGTAGCAGTCACGCCTTGATTACAGCAAATTATGCCTTGCAAGGCCTTGCGGCTCAAACTCCTGAACGAAACTGCCCAATCTGGCTTTCTTTTCTTGGGCCGCATGCGCAGCATGGTATTAAACACCAGTGAGGATTACTGTGGCTGCACGCGATGCAGGGGCTTCCGCTGCATGGCACTGGGCATGGCATGCCTGCCCCCAGCCAGTGGAATGGATACCAGGAGCTCTATGCGACCCCACACCCGGACACACCCTTCCTCACCACACTCCACACTCCTCCATGGCGAGAGTCCGCCACTCCCCTTCAAGCTGGTTCGGCAACACCCCGCGACAGGGGGCTGCAAGCCGAACTTCGAGATTGCCTCTACGCGAAAAGCCCCACAAGCCTAAGCCACAGCATCCTGCACCCAAGACCCCAGAGCCGCGTCTCCTTGAATCCTAACAGAACTCAAGGGGCCTACTGAGGCCTCTCGAGTTCTCCCAACCACATGGCCCAGCAACTGTAGCCGTTGCGGTCGTGGTCGTTGACGTCGTCGTGCTGCCCTTGGATGTGAACTTCAATCCAACAAACCGACACGTGAAGCCTAAACTGTCAGAAGTTAGCCAGAATACACGAAGTGCCATATACATGTACATGTACATATACATATATATACACATATACATACACATATACATATACATATACATATACATATACATATAACATATACTATATAATATATAATATCTAATATCTAATATCTAATATATAATAGAAAATATATAATATATAATATATGTTATATAATATATTATATGTTATATATATTATATTATATATTATAAATTATAGATTAATATACCATATATCATATATAATACTTAATATTTGATACAATTTATAATGCATAATATATACTATATGATTTATGATATATGATATATGAAATATACAATAATACAATGCAATATCATATCAAACCATATTATGTAATGTAATGTAATATAATACAACAAAAGTCTAATGTGTTATAATCATCATACAACAGAATTTAATACGAAGTAATATTACATTATACTATGAAATATTGTATAATATAACATCGCATAAAATAATGTAATTTAATATGTGTAATAGAATATAATATAATACAATACAATATATAATGTGATTCAAATGTAATGCAATGCAATGTAATGTAATGCAACGTAACGTTATGTAATGTAACATACCAAAATGTAAAAGAATGGAAAATCATATAGCATAGTATGACACAATATATACATGTATATGCATTTATGTTTACTTTTTCATTGATCTATCTTACATACTTCTTATGAATTAAATGCAAATATTCACCCCTCCCCCCCCTTACCCGGTGGATTTGCCCGAACCACTTGGAGGAGCCACTCTCCGAGGCCCGATTCAACCCTGAATCGGGCCACGGATCCATGATCCAAGACCCAAGATTCGCAGGAAAAGTTTGTCTGGGAATCTCGGGTGCCGAGTTTTCGGTCCAGGGCCCAATTCAACCTGAATCGGGCCGATTCAGCCTGAGTCGGGTCTAGGAGACAAGACCTGGGACACTGTTACCATCGCTGTTTGATGCACTAAACCTCTTGATTGAAATTCCTTGTATGATGCTCCTTTTGTTCAAGCAAACCTTTACCCACCCAAGCTTGGTATACTTTAGTGCGGTATTGAGTAGTCGGCTTGGGATGGCTGCTGGGATGTAGCACCTTAACAGTTCTGCAACTTTGAAGGACAGCTACTGGGACAGCTTTGTGGAAAGACGGGTTAGTGTATGTATATTGAGAAAGGTCTGATGTACGAAAAGCGTAGAATCTTGGAAGCTCAAACAACAAAATACGAGGACTTGCACAATGCGGCCACTGCTATCTGAGTAAGAGAGAGAGAGAGAGAGAGAGCAGAAAAATGTCGAAAACTCAACTCTTTCTTTAGTAAAGTTTCACAGCTCTAAGACGGAGCAGCATATTCAAAAGGTCGCATTTGTTGATCAAATTAAGTATATGTGTTCATGAAATATACTGTATTATCTTGTACATATACATTCTTGTATATTTCATGGTCAATATTATTACATTCTATGCATAGATATATTCCAAAT